CGGCAGCGGGTTGCAAGAGCTGGCGACGTGCTGCGTGACTCAGCTGCAGACCCGCGGCTGGCTCCCGGCCACCCTGCTTGGTGCCAGGGGCCGGAGCGCGAGAGGAAGCTGTGCTTGCGGAGGGGGCTGGCACGGCAGGCGCCAGCGCTTGTTCCCTGGCACTTATCTCCCAATGCCACCTAGGCAGCAGCTGCTCCTCGTGGCCAGGCTGGCACGCAGGGCCCGAGCGCGCTGCGCAGGCTGGGGCTTAGGCCCAGCCGTGACATCGAGCACGCGTGCTGTCAGCCCTGGGTGCCGGCAGGGGCGAAGGGGGCCCTTAACTTGCGGAGGCAGGGGCTGGTGCCCCCCCACTGGCAGCGCTGTTGGAGGAGCGGCTAATCCCCTGAACTGCAAACAGCTTTGCCCGGGTGAAGAGGCAGATTACCTCTGCAGCTCGATCCGGTCACGTCTCAGGGAGCAGCCCGAGCTTGTCCTCTCCAGAGCTGGGGGAAGGGGGCTGCAGCTGCGGCCCAGCGTGCCTGGAGTTGCCCTCTGTGCTTGGAGCCTGGCGCAGCCTGGCCAGGCTGGCCTGCCCCGCGCAGGGGCAGCAGGGAGCCTGCGCCAGGACGAGAGGCCTGAGCCCCGAGCGGGGCCGTGGGGCTGTGCCCGGCGGGTGGGCTGTGCTGTGGGGGGATGGGGATAGGGATAGGGACAGGCCCAGGCAGCTCGGTCCTGCTGCGGCCACCTGCCCTGTGCCCAGATCTGGGTGTCGGGCAATGCAGGGGCTGGCTCAGCCTCCAGGACCCACTCCTGCAGTCTGCGTCTCCTCGTGTGCCCAGCGTGTACCTGGCTGGGCCGAGCGCCGAGCCCTTCCCACTGCTGCTGCCCGGGGTGGGTGCCGTGAGCCGCTGCGCGGTGGCTCCCCCTCTTCTCCCCGCTGCCTGCTGCCCGGCTGCTGTCCTACTGCTCCTGCAGCGCCCCTGGGCATGGGGCCGAGGGCTGTGGCAGCCGATTCCCCCACAGCCCCGGGGGCAGGGGCCCAGGATGGTTTTTGGGGCATGCAGGCAGCGCCAGCGTGCAGAGGAAGGAAATCGGCTCACATACAGAGGGGCTCGGGCTGGGCTGTGGCACCGGGGACCCAGCCTTGACCTGGGGCGGGATTAGGAACCAGCCCTGCTTGCCCGTGGTTTGACTCCCCCTAGCAAGACCTCACTGCCCCGCAGCCCAGTCCCTCAGCCCTGCCCCTTGGCTCACAGCTTCTGCCTCCCCGCAGGTTCACAGGGGCCGAGGCCATGGTGATGGGCGACGTGACCTATGGCGCGTGCTGCGTGGACGACTACACTGCCAGAGCGCTCGGCGCAGACTTCCTGGTGCACTACGGACACAGCTGCCTGAGTACGTACGGCTCCGGCCAGGAGCTGGACAGGCCTGGTCAGGCGGGCTCTGGCCTCCGGCCTGTTCAGGGGCTCCTGCCATGCGGGGGTTGGGGTCAGGGTCAGGGTCAAGGCGCGGGGCAGTGCCGGCTGCTGCAGGAGAGGCGGTATCCAGGCCCCGATCACCATTGCCAGCCGAGCTGCTTGGCGGCTACAGCATCCCCTGCCCTCGGGGAGCTGGAGAGGTGGGTGTGGGAGGCACCAGGTGGCTCCTGCACGACCTGCGGGCAGGTTCAGGTGCAGCCCCTTCCCCACGAGCTCCGGGGCCGGGACCTCCGCTCCGCTCCGCTCGGCACGGGGGGCTGTGCTGCCGGCAGCCGGGCACGGGGGCGGGTGCTGTCGGGTGAGCGAGCCGCGTGCTCCGTGCAGCCGCCTGAGGCTGCCGAGGCCTCTGCGCTGCTGAGGGAAGCCTGCCCTTGCTCCCGAGCTCCGGCCGGCTGGCGCAGAGGTGCCTGGTGGACGTGCCAGCCCCAGGGCCCGCGCAGACTGCGTTCCCAGCACTAGCTCGGGAGGTGTTGCTGGTGCTCAGCCCCCATCCACCAACCCGTGCCCTGGGTGTGTAGGCCCAGAGCCGCGCAGTCCAGCCCTGCTGTGCTGCCTGGGGACAGGGGGGCCGTAGGGCCCTTAGGCTCAGCCCCTGCAACTCTCCCCGGGGCGGAGGGCAAAGCTGGGCTGCCCTGTCTGCGAGCTGCTGCCCCGGGAGGCGGGGAGCGTGGCAGGGGTCCCGGGGCACTGGTGCTCGCTGCCCGTGGGGCCCGGGTGGCGCCGGGCGCGGCTGGGGCTGGGGCGCTGGCTGCTCGCCGGCACAACGGCTTGTTGGAAGGGAGGGCGAGGAGGAGGCTCCGCACTCCCTAGGCGGAACGGTACTCTGGATTCGGTTGCCATGGAAACTGCACTGCTGTCCCAGATGCTGCTAACTTTGAAGTCCACACAGGATGGAATCAGCCCAAAAATAACAATAAGACACTCTGGGTTTTAAGGTGGATCCGAGCAGTTGCTACCCCAGTGCCTGGCTGGACTGGGGAGGGTTTCCGCTCATGGGGAACCCCTCTGCCCCCACGGGTGCTACCAGCAGTGCCCCTCCCCAGGCCAGCTCCACTGTCCATCGCCCCAGGCCCACGGCCCTCTGGCGTGTCCTGGGCCAGTTGCACCTGGCGGGGCCCCCGGGGACACGGGCACGTCCTGCCGGGAGCTGCTGAGCGCCCCCAGCCTGCATTGCAGCAGGCGGAGTCGCTGCCTCCCCGTCCCACCCAGCAGCCTGGGCTGGCATCAGCAGGTCGGCTGGTCCCGGGGGCCCGGGGGCTGTCCCTGGTAGGCGCTGGCTGGAGGCCCCAGCCACTGAAATGACTCTGACCCAGTCACACCTGTGTGAAGTTCACAGCTCTGTGTGGGGTCCGTGGCACAAGCGCCATGGGTGATAATGCCCAAGCCAGCAACGCCGTCGCCTCCTTACAGGAGCCAAGGGGAGAGGAAGACAGGACCTCAGGAAACCTGGGCTGTGAACCCCACTGTCAATTTGTTACCTGCCAAAGCAGGGCTTCAGGGGTCAGCACTGGGACCCAATGCCCCACAGTGGCCCCTGCATCAGCGGCCCTCGCTAGAGCACGTCTCTGCCACGTCTGGGTAGCATAGCCCTGGCCTGATGACCTGTGCCAGGTCTCCCGCAGCAGGTGCAGAGCTTGCGAGGGCCTGGCCCCATCCCACGCGGCAGGCCAGTGTCTCCCTGCACAGCCTGTTGGCTGCACCAGCTGCCAGGCACCGGCTTCCCAGGGCTCTCGGGCTTTGGGCCTGGACATGCAGGGCATCAGGCATGGCCAGAGGCTCCCTTCACCCCTCTGGGCCCCAGCCGGTGACCCCTGGGCTGCCGCCTCCTCTTCTCCAGCTGTCCCTGTAGCTGGTGCCCGGGCGCTGTCCTGGGCAGGCCCTATGGTGAGGTATGGGGTGCTCTGTGTCAGCACCGCTGCTCCCTCCGAGTTGTGCCCCAGGTGCCCCTGGCTGCGGGGACCTCCACGGGGCCCACCCTTCCCACCCGCGTGGGCAGGACTCACTTCTGCCCTGTGCCAGGAGCAAGTAATTTACACTTAATTGGGATCAGGTGAGCGGCCTGCGATGGGAAGCAAGCGCAGAGGCTGCAGATCGATGCTGACTCCGTGTACTTTAATTATTCACTTAATCGTGGTGACACGGGCTCCTTAGCATCGGGGGTAATTAGATTGGTGTTCATCGATTCCCTGGGCCACCACCAGCTGCAGAGAAATGACCGGGCGCTGCCCCTAGCCCTGCCTGCGGCCCCCAGCTGGCCTGGCTGTGCGGAGGCCCAGGTGGGCAGCAGGGAGCTGGGCCAGGACGTGTGCAGCCATCTCCTGCCTTGGCCAGCCCCGTGCGGCTGCAGCGGTGACCAGGGCAGCTGCGCTTCCGGCCTGGCCTGCTCCTGCATGAATAAGGCATCAGGAGGCAGGAAGCAGAGCTGGCTGTGCCCTGGGGCCGGGTGCACGGCTGGCTCCCTGTGCTGGCTGGTGCAGGGCAGCCCTCCTTGCAGAGGTGCCCGGCCCAGCCCCTCACACCCACCTCTCCTGTGCCCAGTTCCCATCGATGCCGTGCAGGGGATGAAGATGCTGTACGTGTTCGTGGACATCAAGATCGACACGTCTCACTTCCTTGAGACCGTGCGCTTCAACTTCCGCCCGGGCGCCCGCCTGGCCCTCGTCAGCACCATCCAGTTTGTCTCGGCCCTGCAGGTGAGGTGGGGGCGGGGAGGGGCCAGCAGCTGCCACTCGCACCCCAACACCTGCCGGTGTGGAGAGGCAGCCCCCAGCACCTCCTTCATCTGCTCCCCAGCCAGGGCCCTGCCGTGCTGCTGGCGCCAGCACCTGCGCTGATGGGCTTCAGGCAGGTCTACTAGGGCCCGCGCTCCTGCTTCTCAGCTGGCGCCGGTCCCCATGGGGGTCTGGAGCATGGGCGCGTGGCCATGCGGCCTCAGGGACCCTGGCCCTCATCCCCTGGGCACAGCAGCCTCTGGGAGATGGTTCACATGCTTGGCCTGTCTCCTGGAGTGCCTGGGGGCTGCTCTGGGCCAGAGCCAGGGGCCACCAATCGCAGAGGATGCAGCTGCCTTGGCCCTGTGTGCGTCTCAGCGGCTGGGCCAGGCCCATGGCTGTGTGTGTGTGTGCGCACACGCGCGTGTGCACGCACATGCATAGTCACACACACATGCGCTTATTTTTTGTGAGGAAGTGCATGGGGGACTGGGTGCTCCAGGGTCACGGCTCTGTTAGGAGGGGACCACCCCTGTCCCTGTGGGCCACGTGTCCCTGTGTATTGCAGGGGCTTGGGGGTGGCTGGGGGCACATGCCTGTGCGTGGCAGGGCAGCTGCGGGGCACACCCCGTGGGCATACGAGGTATCCCCCCTCTGCCCTGGCACGTCACTGCCACGGTGCTGCTCAAGCACTTTATAACAACTGGGATCGGTGTTTCGCGGTGGCTGCCCTCCCCCAGCTCCCGGGGGAGCTGGCGCGGTAAATGTCAGGGCAGGCAGTCGAGCACTTGGCATTTTGATGTGCTGCTGGAAGTGGCCGGGGAGGGCTCCGGCAGGCGCAGGCAGGGCTGCCTGTGGATTAGACGCTGCTTGTGAATGGCCGCCTGGCAGGACGGAAGAGATGAATGAGCCTCTTGAGCCGTGTCTGTCTAAACACGGGGTTATTGAAGCGTTAAACGTTTGCTCTTGTATTTTAATTGATGCGTCGGCTGAGCCGGCTGCAGCATCGCTCTCGCGCGCGCTCCCTCACCCCAGGTGTCCCGCGCCGGGCAGCAGGAGACCTCGCGTGCAGCCGCAGCCCGGGCAGAGCCCCCAGCCCCTGCAGCCTGGCCCCAGGCGGCTGCTGTTCTCTTGCCCAGGCTTGGGCCTGACGGGCACCACATCTCCCCGTCACAGGGCCTTGGGGCACAGCACTCCTTCCCCACACACAGTAGAGCTTGTCTCCAGGCACGGGCATCAGTCTGCCCTGCCCCGACCAGGGCTTCAAGCCCCTTCCCCTCCCTGCCATGCAGTCTCCCTCCATCCCCCGCTCCCCCATCTGGTCTCAGCCCAGCTGTGTCTCTCCGCAGGCTGCCTCGCAGGAGCTGCGCCCGGACTACGAGGTCTGCGTCCCGCAGTGCAAGCCGCTGTCCCCAGGTGAGATCCTGGGCTGCACGTCCCCTCGGCTGGCACAGGACACGGATGCCATTGTGTGAGTACCCGGGGGCACATGCCCGCCCACGCTTGGGGAACGTGCCCCTGGTCTGCTTGGCTTCTCCTGGCCTTCCCACAACTCGGCCTCGTGCCCAGCCCCTGCCTGGAGCTCTCTGCTAGTCAGAGCAGGGTGCAGGAGTGCCACGGGCTCAGCCGTTCGCCAACCCAAGTGCAGGCCAGGCCTCTCCGTGGCTGGTGCTGGGGCAGAGGCTCCTTCCTCCCTGTTACGCTGCACCGAGTGCCGCTGTGGGGCGGGGGCTGCGGCACCCGTGCTCGGGGGGCCATGGGCGGGTGCCGACAGAGCCAGGGGGCTGGGGCACGGCTCGGAGCGGCTGGTGCTTGCCATGCAAGAGAAATAATTGAGTCGTATATCAGAACAGATAATAGATGGAAGGGCGGGCAGATAATTGGAGAAGACGGATGGCCAGGGCCCAACATCACAGAAACATTAATTTTATTTAAGGACAGCAAATTAGAGGGAGCACTTCGCTTCCTATCACCTAATTATTTTAGGTAATGGAAATGCTTAATGTACTGTGAATACAGTGTGCTGCAGAATAAATAAATAAAGCGGCCCCACCCCGGGGATCGGCCGGGACTGCCGCCACCCCCGCCCGGCTCCAGGGAGGCGCCTGACCCTCCGGGCGCCCGGGTGGCAGGGGAGAGCTGGGGGGCTGCGGAAGAGGTGACTGGTTCACGATGCCTTTGGGAAGGGGTCCCAGCTGCAGTACATCTGCATGTGGCAGGTGGCCCTGGGTCAGGGTCAGTGTCCCAGAGCAGGGCTGGAGCCGCAGCGTTGGTGACCCTAGGGGCGAGTCAGGTGCACCTTGCTCCAGCCCCTGGGCCCAGTCCTGTCCCCCAGGGCTCCTGGCTGAGGTTCCCCAGGTGCCTGTTGCTGCCTTGGAGCCTGGCAGGGGTTGGGGTCCTCCTGCAGCCCCAGCTCCTGGAGTCCCGTGACCTCCGGGAATCGCCACGATCCCGGCAGGTTGGCGGCTGCGTGGGCAGTGCTGCCAGCGCTCAGCCCCAGGCTCTTCAGCATTATCTCCTTTAACAAGGGCCAGCCCCGGGCGCGTCTTGGAAAGCTGCATGGGCTCCTCACCTGCTTGGCACAGGGCAGGGGGACAAGCCAGGGCCACAGTCAGCTTTGCTTTCCTAGCGAGGCACGTTCCTGCTGCTCGTGCACCAGGAAGCCCAGAGCTGGCATGGGCAGACCCCCAGCACGCCGGCCCTGGCCCCGGGAGATCCCCAGCCTCAGGGAGCGTTGGACTGGCGGACTTTCCCTCTGTTGGCTTCAGCCTGTTGCCTTTGCAGTTCTCGCCCTCCTGCACGTGGGGCTGGGGTATTCGTGCTGCTGTCTGCGCGTGCTTGACGCAAGCGTTCCCCGTCCTCGTCTTGCCTGTCTGCGCTCTGGCGAGACGCTGTGGCCAGGGGCCGTGGGGCCGGGCAGGCGGGTCCTGGCGGCTGCGGGCGGCTGCTGTACCTGCTCGACCCCGCGCGCACCTTCCCGAGTTGTTATTTTGTTATTTGGCCCCAGCTCTGGGGCCAACTTTTTTGCAGACAAATTAGCTTTGATCTCCCGAAATGTCATTCTCCAATTAAAGGCAAAAATCTAGTCAAGTTTTACGTCTGAATTCATTTTCCGAGCCCTCACTCCATTAGGGCAGCTGAATGAAAGGCTTTGAAATGTAATTGCTGACTTGAAATCCGATTAGAAATGGAAGCAGAAATGTCTATAACCAGCCGTCGCGATTGAGCCTCTCCAAGGGGCCACGCGCCTGCCTGGCAGAGCCGTGCCCATGTGGATGGTGAACGGGCCCCTCTTCCGCGCTCATCTGGCAGGCAGCGCTGCCCGGGCAGGGCGCAGAGCGGGTGGCGTAGGTCAGAGGGGGCAGCGCCGGGGCCAGAGGGGACACCCCCCGGCTCCGGCGTCTTGCCGTGCAGGTGCTGCTCTTTGCTGAGCTCCTTCTCTCCCTGTTGCAGGTACCTGGGGGACGGGCGCTTCCACCTGGAGTCCATCATGATCGCCAACCCCGGGATCCCTGCCTACAGGTACGGGGCCGGCCGGGGTGGTGGGGAGGGAAGGGGCCTCGTGGTGGTCCAGGGAGTTGCTGGGGCCGGCTGTGGGGGTTGCAGACCTCACGGTTAACAGCCCATCTGGAGGCCTCGCTGGATCCAGGTTGTGCCCAGCACCTGCCCCAGCCCTGCCCAGACTACATGGGACATGAGCTTCCCCATGCAGCCTTGGGCAGGTCGCTCCCCGAGCCTCCGCAGCTCCTGGGCTGCAGTGGGCAGGGAGCCTCTGACCCCGGCCTCCCCGCCTGCCGCTCCGAGGCTGGCTCTCGAGGGCTCTCAGCACCGAGCGAGGGCAGGCCCTGGAGAGGGGCAGAGGGGAGGCGCTGGAGGAGATGAACACCAGCCATTTACTCGGGCTGAATATAAACATTTTGACAAGTACCTGTGAAAGCTCTTTGAGGTGCAGCCATTAAACTCCCGGCTGCTGCAGGCAGAGGCCATAAAACGCGATGATGAGGCTGCTGAAAGCAGATGAAATATCAGGAGCGAGAGGCAGGGCCCGTTCGGCGAAATCTGAATTTCTTAGTAGGTCGTTTGTTACCGGCGGGAGCCGCACGTCAGGTTTATGGCGCTGGGGAAGCTGCGGAGCCCGAGTGGGATTTGATTAAAATTCTCCTCGTCAAACAAAGCAACAAATCACAGATCCCTCCGTAATGGGGGGGAGGGGAAGGGAGCAGGGGGAGCCCGGGGCCAGCCGGCATCCTGGCTTGGCGGGAAGAGAGCCGGCCCCGCGCGCTGCGCTGCGCTGCCCTGCCCTGCGCTGGTGCTGGCTGCCGGCGGAGCCCGGGGCACTGCCGCCTGCGTCCTGCTCCTGCAGCCCTCGCCAGCTGCTGCTGCCCCCACCCTCTCCCCCTGCCCCCGGGGGTAACAAGCCAGGCAGCTCCTCTGTGGGGAGCACTGGGGAAAGGCCCTCTCTCATCCCCAATTAGTGCTAATGAGGCTACTGAAGGGGAGGGGGTGCAAGGTGCCCTTGACCAGGCAGGGACAAGCTGCAGCTGCACAAGCTGCCTGACAGAGCGAGGCACGAGGGCACGGGAGGCGTGACGACGCGGAGCGCTTCCTGGGCTGCCTGGCAGCAGCGCTGGGGTTCAGGGCCTCGTGGGCTCGGTGGGGCTGGTGTCGCCCGCTGCACACGAGGAGCCGCGAATCCGCGGGCCCGTCCCTACTGGCAGATGAGCAGCTTCCCTGGCGGGACGGCCTGGTGCTGCCGAGGGATGTAGCCGAGGTCCTCTCCGGACAGGGGGTCCCCATGCACAGCCCGCAACCGGGCGCCCTCCGAGCCAGGGCAGTCGGGGCTGGCTTCTGCCCTCCTTCAGCCCGGGCGCTGGCCACCATGCAGAGCAAGGAGGTGCGGTGGCCTGGGCCAGGCCCTGAGCACGTCTGGCCCTGCTGCTCACCCCCCCGAGCCACCGCTGTCTCCCCTGCAGGTACGACCCCTACAGCAAGGTCTTCTCCCGGGAGCACTACGCCCACGAGCGCATGCAGCGCGCCCGCCAGGAGGCCATCCGCACCGCCGCCCGTGCCCGCACCTGGGGGCTGATCCTGGGCACGCTCGGGCGCCAGGGCTCCACCCACGTCCTGCAGGTACCAGCCCCGCCATGGCTGCCCCCTCTGCTGCGCTCTGCTTGCCCCACTCTGGGCTGGGCCCCCGGATTTGGCAGTGTCCTGTCAGTCTCTGAGGTCAGTCTGGTGTCCGTCCCGTGCCTGGATGCAGTGCCCCACTCTGGCATCAGGGCTGGAGCCCACCAGGATTAGATGCGAGGCTGGGGGCTGCTGTCCCCATTCACCTGCACCCTGTGCCGCTGCCATGCCCCTGTAACGCCCCAGAGCTGGTCGCAGCATCCTCCATGAGCCCTGCCAGCTCCCCCAGCCTCAGCTGCCGCTAACAAGGACCTGCCCAGCTATCAGCCAGGCTCTGCGCGGCCCTGAGCCACGATGGCAGGGCAATTAGCGCAGATGAGTGGGAGCCGGAGCCTCGTTAAATGTGCCCCTCGCTGGGGAGAGCCGGCTGGCCCCACAGACCTGTGGCAGCCGCCTGCAATTAATTCTCTATTTTTGTTATAATGAGACGAGCGTGGTCGGTCCTGTGCAGCCTGCCTCGGCCCTGGCGCTGGGGCTCTGCAGCAGCATGTCTCAGCTTGGGCCAGGGACAAAGGCTGTGGCAGCCCCGGTACATGGGGGCCCTCACCCTCTGTGCCCCCCGTGGCAGGGAGCTGACAGGGGCAGCTCCACAGGCCTCTTTGATGCTGCATCTCGGAGGGGCCTGGTCCTGGCTGAGCCCCCCCTTCCCCGCTGCAGTGCTGGAGCCTGCCCGGGGCTCTGCCCCCCCGCAGCGCACCTGGGCCAAGACGTGGGTGTGCAGGGGGGCGTTGCTGCAGCCCCTGGACAACATTTGTCCAAGTCCCAGAACCACCGCCAGCTTGGCAGCGCCTGGCACCGTGCACAGCGTGCTCCTAGGGTAGGAGAAAACCAGGGAAGGGGCTTGGCATAGCCTGGTGGGGGGTTAGGGGTGGAGGGGGGCACAGCAAGTCCGTGGCGGGCTGTGGGGTCACAGCACGATGGTGGCTGTGCTGGCCTGGGGGGCGGGGAGGATGGTCAGAGGATGCTTACCGTGCAGGTGGCATCGGCAGAGCTGTGGGCGGGGGCCACGGGCCGGGCCCGCAGGGCGCTCGGCGGTGGGACTGTTCCCGTTCGGCCTGCCCTGCTGCGCCCACGCCGCGACGTGCTGGCTTGGCTGCGCTCTGCGTCCTGCCTCCGGGGTGCGGCCCCAGCGGGATGGGGCTGCGGGGTCAGGACCGGGCATCACAGGGCCCCGGCCGCAGCTCCGAGGGTGGAGGAGTGGGATCTCCCTGGGCAGACGCTGGCCCTGACTGTCCCTCCGGCCGCCTGTGCCTCTGAGAAGGCTGCTGCTAACGAGAACAGATTGTTGTCATTGAGCAGTAATTACTTCATTAAGCGCAGCGGGTGGGGGGGGGGACGGAGCTGCATGGCAAGGGGGGGTGCACTGAGCACGGCTGCAATGCCAACTTTGTCCACTGCCGTGGGGGATGGGATGGGCCTGTGTTTTGGGGGGCCCTGAAACAGCCTAGAGACCAGGCTGCCATGACCTCCCCCTCCCCAAAGCAGGTGGCACTTGACGGCCTTGGCAGGGGCCAGTACCCGCTGAGCTATGGAGATGGGCATGGGGAGGGAGTGGGGCCGGCCCGGGCGGGTCTAGCGTGGCACAGCCCTGCTGCGGGGCTCTCCCTGTTGCCTCCATCGCACACGGTCCCAAGTCAGCTCATCTGTGCCCCCCCACCCTTCAGCTCCCCTGACTGTGCCTGTGCCCTGCTCTGCAGCACTTGGAGTCGCGTCTCCAGGCCCTGGGGCTGCCCTTCGTCAGGGTGCTGCTGTCTGAGATCTTCCCCAGCAAGCTGCAGCTCTTCCCCGACGTGGACGCGTGAGTACAGCTGCCCCGGGCTCCTGCCCTACGCTCCCTGCGCCCAGCTCGGCACCACGGCCCAGCCCCAGTCCCTGCGGCGCTCCGGCTCTGGGGGCTGGAGCGTCTGCCCCATCCTGGGGAGGGGCTGCTGTCCCCATGGGGTGGGCGGCTGTGCCCTCCCTTACACAAGGGGGGCATCTCTGCCCAGTCCCCGGGCACTGGCAGGTCCCCCACTCCCTGCCGTGGCCAAGGGCAGCTCTGCAGTGCCTGCGCCCTGCCAGGAGCCCGGAGCCAGGCACTCTGCTGCCTCTGCCAGAGGCCTCCTGCCTCCTCCCTTGCTGTGGGGCCTTCAGGGATTCGGGAAGGGGCTTAATTTAGCTCTGCCACGCGGCCTTGCTGTCAGGGAAGGTTTCTGCGCTCTTCCCCTCCCCCTGCCGCACATCCTGGACGCTGCCGCCGGGCCCAGCAGCCTGCAGGGAGGGGAGCAGGGGCGACGGGGCCCTTGGCTGCGCCCCGTGCCCCATGCAGGCATCGGGTCAGGTGCTCCAGGTGTCTCCAGGGCCCAGGGGAGCATCCAGCTAGCCTGGGGCTGCTGGCGTCTCCTGGGCACGTGGGGCATGGCCTCCCAAGGGTGCCCGAGCACAGCACGGTGCAGGAGCCTGGGCCCAGCACAGCGTCCTGCAGCACCCGGCAGTACCAGCCTGCTGGCACTGGGGCACCGGCCCCCGGGGGCCACCCCTGGTCCCTCAGAGATCCTGAGCAAAACCCATCAGCGCGGGGGGGGTCGGAGGATCCCGGGTGCGGAGACATCCCTGTCCCGGGGGTCTCAGCTGGGTGATGCTCGGAGCAGAGTAAAGGCCCCCCAGGCCTGTGCTGCCCCTTGCGCCCCCCCCTGCTGCTGGAAGTGGGCAGCACGGGGCTGCGTCGGGCTGTCCTTGGGAGGTCAGCTCCTCCCAGCCCTGCGTGCGTGTCCCTGGCCTCTGAAATATTCATGCTGCCCCAGCGCTGGGCCGCTCGCGCTCGGCTGGGCTCGGCTAAGCATGATGGAGAGAGGAGCAGATTTCTTGTGATGGGGCCACGGGAACGAGCGCGGCAGCTGCTGGCAGCCTCTTCCGCACGTTTCCTCCATTTAGCCGCTGGCCCCGGGCTGGGGCAGGCAGGGCCTCGCCTCACGCTGGGCTCGGATGCCAGGGCTGGTGCAGGCGCCTGCTTTGCCCCATGGTCTGGGTGGTTTCCAGGCTCCTTACATCTGCCTGCACCCCTCACCCTGCTCTCCCCAGCCAGCCACGAGGGCAGCGCTGACACGGAGCTGGACAGGGAGGAGTCTCCAACGTCCCTGGGCCCGTCCCTGCCGTGTTGGGTGGCCCTCAGGGTATTTGGGGCCCTTGCCTAGGGCATCCGGGCAGCGCCTGCAGGGATCCCAGCCACCCCCGGGGTTGGGCGGCTCATGGCACAGCTCCGCTGCAGCTGCTGCCAGGGGTGGAGGGGGGAGACGGGCCCTGTGCTGGGGTCGCCCACCGCCCTGCGCCTCCCTTGCAGGTGGGTGCAGGTGGCCTGCCCCCGGCTCTCCATCGACTGGGGAGAGGCCTTCAGCAAGCCGCTGCTGACGCCCTACGAGGTAAGGTGCCCGTCCTGCCCTTGGCCTCGGTTGCTTTGCCAAGCAAGGGGGACCCCACAGCTCCGCCGTCCGGGGGCCCTGGGCCCCCCCGGGCAAGTGAGGTGCAGACGCTGTCCTGGCTCTGGAAGGGGTTCAGCTGAATGAGCTCAGCCCGCCTGAGCATCCCCGCACCGTGCCCGCCCAAGCAGGCGACCCGCGTATGGGAAGGGGCTGCGGGAGTGCTGGCTGCCGGCTGGCCTGGAGCATGGCGTGGCTGTGGCTGTGGCTGTGCCACCGGGCTCAGGGGGGCTGGATCGTGGCAGGCTTGGCAGTGCCTGTCAGCTCGGCCACCTGCAGGGTTGCCCAGCCAGCCCTGGGGCACAGCGGGTCAGCATCGGGGGTGCTAGCAGGAGCTGCCGCTGGCATGTGCTTCCCTGCACCCCGATGCCCTGAAGTGACGTCCCTAAGGCCCCTGGTAACAACCAGCTGTAACGTTACTGCACGTTTGCCATCTCCGACCCGAGCGGGGCAGACCGTGTCATGGTGTCATCGTTATGTTGCACGTGCAGCTGGTGTGAGTTACTTGCGGAGTTAGCCAGTTGAGCGTGTCGCATGTGTAACATGTAGAGGAGCCCCGAACGTGTGCGTGGGGCCGGTGTCCTTCCTGCCTGGAGGCTGCGGGGCCTCCTGCTAGCAGGGCTGCCCCCGCGCCGCACGCCGCCCCAGAGCCCGCGTTTCATTGCACCCCAGGCTGCCGTGGCTCTGAAGGAGATCGAGTGGCAGCAGACCTACCCCATGGATTTCTACGCCAACCAGTCCCTGGGAGCCTGGACTCCCAATCACGCCAGTCACCAGCCACAGCGGGGTCCCCGCCAGCCAGCGCAGGTGAGGAGTGCAGACCCCTGGCTCCCCAGAGGTGGGGGGAGTTCGGAGAGCTGTGGGGAGGGGCTGTGCTGTCTGCAAGCGGCTCGCCCCGACCCTCGGGGGCACCAGCCTCCCTGCCAGGGGCTCGGTGTCTGGGGCATGGCCAGGGCAGGGCCGCGTCCGTGAGCTCCCCGGGGTTGGAGGAACCTGCCGCAGAGCCAGGACCCAGATGCCGTGGCCTCGATGCGCGTTTGGTTTCTGCTTCTCCGTGCGCCGTGTGTGGCTGCTGGGAGGAGGCCGCCCAGCCGAGCCGCGCTGCCATGTGCTGACGGCGCCATCCAGTGGCTTTCGCCAGCGCGTGTGAGTGATGCAGAGTGGGGTGGGGTGCCTGGCCCTGCTGCCAGCCCAGAGCCTGCGGCCAGCCAGGGTGTCCCGTGGGGAGGGCGCGCTGCCCTCCACTTGCCCACAGGACGGGGCATCCGTCTGCAGCATTTCAGCCTTGCCGCCTCCCGGGAGGCAGGAGCGGGCATCTTGAGGATGCTCTGGGCAGCGGCAGCTGAAGGACAGGAGTGGCTGGGAGAAGCAGCGATGTCTGATCCCACCGGGACCCAGGGCCAGGAGCAGGCGCCTCCTTGCGTTCGTGTCACTGCCCGTGGCGGGTTCGCTGGAGGGCAGCGCACAAGCATTTATCGGGGTCATCTCCCGGGGGGTGAAGGGGAGGCCCGGCAGAGATCAGTGCAGCCTGACACCCCCTGCTAGGGGCGGGGGGCGTGGAGAGCTCCCCGCCGGGCCCGAGGCGAGGGGCAGGGTGGTGGTGGCAGGGCTGTGGCCACGGCGGGGAGCAGGGGTGATGGGAGGGAGAGCAGTGCTTTTCTGATCACGCCCTTTTCTGGCTGCAGAAGCAGGTGGCTGGGCCGCCCGGCGTGAAGGAGCCGTGCCGTGACTGCCGCTGCCAGGACACGTCGCCGTCGCCAGCACCACGGCCCGAGGCCCCAGGCGCAGCCAGCAGGCCCCCACCCGCGGAGCAGCAGCCGGGGCCCAAGTGCCCAGGGACAAACCCCCCTGACGCGGGCGCTGGCGAAAGGGGCCGGGTCGCCAGCCCGGTGGAGTGACTGATGCCCTTGGTCTGTCCCCAGGGAGGCAGGCGTGTGCGGGGCCTGCGGCGCCTGGCCCTTTCCCGGGCAGGACGGGGTTGTCCAGGGCTGGGCCTGCCTCGGCGCCCGGGCAGTGGTGCCAGCGCCTTTGGCGGCGGGATGGACGGAGAAAGAGCTGCACCCATGCCACGGGGCACTGGCCTCTGCCCCCCACGCACTGCAGGGGGGTGGAGACGCACAGCGTGTGGCTGGAAACCCAGGCTGGGTGCAGGCCTGGCCGGGTGCTCAGCTCTGCTCTGGGCCCCCCTTCTGAGCATGCAGCACCCCGCTGTCTGCTGCACCCCGGAAATAAACCCTGCTCCCGCTGCCCCGCTGCGCTTGTCTCCACTGACTGGACGGCCGCCTCCCTGCAGCTGTGCCCAGGGGGCAGGGGTCTCCCCTCAGGACCACCCTCAGCCCCCAGCCCAAAGCTGGGCTGCGCCTGCCCCTGCACCCACGTGTGCGCCCCCAGCCTGTGCACCCGCACCCTTGCACCCCCACGTGCTCCTCACGCCCCCTGCGGCCGGCGCCGCTGCTCCTCGCCTGGCCCACCCCCCCCGCCCCCATTGGCTCCGCGACTGCCGTGACAGACAAGCGGGCCCCGAGTGTCGACCAATCAGGTTTCATCTTAGTGCGCCGCTGCGCTCGGCTCGGGGCACGGCGGCTTCCGGACAGGGCGGGGGGACTTCCGGCGGCGGGCATGTCGGGGGGGCGGGCGGCATCGCCGCCGCCGCCGCTGCGGGTCCTGTGTCTCCATGGTTACCGCCAGGACGCGCGCAGCTTCCACGTGCGCACCGGGGCCT